TTGAATTCCTGACCTCAAGTAATCTGCCTACTTCAGTTTCCCAAAGTGCTGGGACTATAGGTGTGAGCCAGTGTGCCTGGCCTCATTCTGTTTGTTAAAAATAGCTTCGTGCCTCCCACCCCCTCACTTGCTTCCTGTCTTGCCATGTGATCTCTGCACACACTGGATCCCTTTCACCTTCCACCATGAGCAGAAGTAGTTTGAGGCCCTCACTAGAAGCTGAATCTTGAACTTCCCAGGCATCAGAATTATGAGTGAAATAATTACACAGCCTCAGGCATTTCTTTTTAGCAACACAAAATAGACTAATATAAATCCGTTCCCTCCCTGTATTAATACTCTTCTTAATTCCTCATTTCCCATTTATATTGTTGAATAAAGAGCCTCCACTTTCTTTTTTTCTTTTTTGTGGTGTAGCATTTAGTCACCTGACTAGGAAGAGACTTAAACAAATTCAATAACTGACAACATTCTAAACAGTGATCTTTCCCCTATAGGAGGGATGTTCACATTTTAAAAGGTGCAATCCATTGAAAAAACAAGAGCGTTAATGGTAAATTTTCAGTCTTGAGTTACTGAGGGGGGCTATCAAGGTGTTTGAGGTTGGTGAATTTGAACACTACTCAAATCCATCACCAAGTTTGAAATATGTAGGCCTACATTTGGACTCCAGTGAAAGGTTACTTTTGACGTCAAAAAGCATGTCTTCGTATAATTGACAAAACAAAAGGTCTTAAAGGTTAGCACAGGGACCAGTCCGTTAGGCACAGACTGCACAACAGACACAGAGAATCACCATCCCACCATCCCCCTGCCACTTTGTTGGAGCTCATATCAGGGCCTGAAATTAAATTTGGCATCAATTTTAAACTCTTCATTGAGGCACCTAACATCTATTTTAGTCATAAACCTCCCATTTATGACCTGGACCTTTATGATTCAGAGTACACCTGAGTGTTGTGAATGTTTTTCAGACTTTTTGCTCATGCTTTCTTTTCTGTGTAAAGAATCATATTATTTAAGTGGTTTGAAATTTTTGGAGGTTTTCTGGGTGTCTTAGTCTGTGTAGACTGCTATAACAAAATAAACCGAGTGGCTTATAAACAATGGAAATTAATTTCTCCTGGTTTTAGAGGCTGGGAAGTCTAAGATGAAGGTGCCAACAGGCTCAGTGTCTGATGAGGGCTTTCTGACTCATAGCACCTTCTCGCTATGTCCTCACATGGTGAAAGGGGCAAAGCAGCTCTCTGAGGCCTTTTATATTGTTTAATATAAACTCTTTTTGAATGGAACTATTTCTTTTTTAAAAAAATTAATTTTATTATGTATGTTTAAGTCATACAACATGATGTTGCAGGATACATATATAGTAAGATGGTTACTACAGGGAACAGATGAACATATCCATCATCTCACTTAGTTACCCATTTTGCTTTTCTGGGGCCTCTTTTATAAGGGCACTAATTCCATTGATGAGGGTGCTCTTCACTAAAAACCTAATCACCTCCCAAAGGCTCCAGATCCTAATACCATCACTTTGGGGATTAAGATTTCAACATGTGTGTTCTAAGTGAGTAACTCAGGAATGGAAAACTAAACATCATATGTTCTCACTGATATGTGGGAGCCGAACTATGAGGATGCAAAGGCATAAAACTGATACAGTGGACACTGGGGACTTGGGAGGAAGAGTGGGAGGGGGCAAGGGATAAAAGACTACAAATTTGGTGCAATGTATACTGCTGGGTGAGAGGTGCACCAAAATCTCACAAATCACCACTAAAGAACTTGCTTCTGTAACCAAATACCACCTGTACCCTGATGTCCTATGAAAAAATTTAAAAAATAAGCATTGACACATAGAAAAGGTTAAAAACATAGCAAAATAAAAAAGATTTCAACATACGTATTTTGGGAAAACAAAACATTCAGATCATAGCAATGAGTCTAGAGAGGCAATAATGTCTAAGCGTTGGAAAGATAATAACAGGATACACAGCACTGGGATCTAAACAGTGTGAGCCTTCATGCTGTGCTCTGAGCACTTTAAAATATGTTGTTCCTTGTATTTCTCAGTACAGCTCAAAGAGACAGGGGCATTAACATTTCCAAATAATAAATAAGGAAATACAGCTAACTGACTTGAAGGCATTCAGCTCATAAGGGCAGCACACATGAAAGGTAAAGTGCACTGGCTGGAACCTCAAATGGTGCATCTCTGCTGCTTACCAGTTAAGTGACTGATATGGTTTGTCGGTGTCCCCACCCAAATCTCATCTTATAGTTCCTGTAATCCCCACATGTGGTGGGAGGAACCCAGTGGGAGGTAGCTGACGTGGAGGCTGTTATCCCCATGCCATTCTCGTGATAGTGAGTAAATTCTTCTAAGAGCTGATGGATTTATAAGGGGTTTCCCCCCTCACCCAGTTCTCATTCTTCTCCTTATTGCCACCACATGAAGAAGGACATGTTTGCTTCTCCTTCTGCCATGATTGTCAGTTTCCTGAGGCCTCTACAGCTCTGCAGAACTGTAAGTCAATTAAACCTCTTTCCTTCATAATTTATCCAGTGTCAGGCAGTTTTTTATAGCAGCATCAGAATGGACTAATACAGTTTCCTTGGCCAAGTTATTGAAACACACTCTTGTGTTTTTGGTTGCCTTATATGTGATATAGAAATAATGCCAGTATTTCACATATACACCATAGAATACCATGAAGCCATAAAAAAGAATGAATTCTGGCCGGGTGCGATGGCTCAAGCCTGTAATCCCAGCACTTTGGGAGGCCGAGGCGGGTAGATCACGAGGTCAAGAGATCAAGACCATCCTGGTCAACATGGTGAAACCCTGTCTCTACTAAAAGTACAAAAAATTAGCTGGGCATGGTGACGCATGCCTGTAATCCCAGCTCCTCAGGAGGCTGAGGCAGGAGAATTGCCTGAACCCAGGACGTGGAGGTTGTGGTGAGCCGAGATCGCGCCATTGCACTTCAGCCTGGGTAACAAGAGCGAAACTCTGTCTCAAAAAAAAGAATGAATTCATGTCCTTTGCAGGGACATGGATGAACTGGAAGCCTTTGTTCTCAGCAAACTAACATAGGAACAGAAATCCAAACACCACATGTATTCATTCATAAGTGGGAGTTGAACAATGAGAACACATGGACACAGGGAGGGGAACATCACACACTGGGACCTGTCAGGGAGTGGGGGGCAGGGGAGAGCATTAGGACAAGCACCTAATTCATGTGGGGCTTAAAACCTAAATGACAGATTGATAGGTGCAGCAAACCACCATGGCATATGTATACCTATATAACAAACCTGCATTTTCTGCACATGTATCCCAGAACTTAAAGTAAAATTAAATAAAAGCAAGCAAGAAAGCAAGAGGAAGAAAAAAAAGAATGCCAGTGTTCTCTTGTAGGGTTGTTTTGAGGATTAACTAAAGAACTGATTGTATTGTCTCTCTGTCTTCTGTAACCTGTTATTCTCCTGTCTGCTGAGCTCCCCAGTGGCCCCACGACTAGAACTTTGGTGCCCACTGAGCCTATCCTCTTTGAGCCATGCCCAAATCTTTAGCACTGCTCACTTCTTCCCTGACATGGTCAAACTCCGAAGCTCTCTTCCCTCATGTCCCTTTCACACAAAGAACATCCATTGAAAACAGTTATAACAAATTAATAGCAGTGTTGAGTAAAGCCCAGAGTGTGTCTCTCATCTGTTAGTTTGTGACTGGTTTGTTTTACCATCTCTATCTGCAACAAGGAAACGCATACATGATGGTAGATGTGCAGACACCATGACTTTTTTCCTAAGGAAGAGTAGGGGCCTTCCTAGTTTCACAGATTACACACAGTAGGTAATCACCAACTCTGTACTTGAGTGAGATTGGCCCATTTAAGCAACTAATTGCAACATGGAGCGATGGGAGCCCTAAGCCAAGGGCAGGTGTTTGCGATATGGGCTGCAAAATAGAATCACCTGGGAAGCTTTTAAAAGGCTTGACTCTCAGGTCATACCATAGACAAATTAAATGAGCATTTTTTGAGCTAAGAACCAGACAGGTATTTTTTTCAAACTCCCTACATTATTTCAATTTAATCTGGGCAGTTAACAAAAACAAATTTCAATATTCAGCCAAGATTGAAAACTGCTGCCTGCCGACTTTGTGGCCACAGTAGTTAAACTCATCTAATCAGTTTTCCTCTGGCTCCTTCACAAAACAGTTTGTTCACCTGGAAACTTGTGCTCACCTATAATAAGTCATTTGCATTGCCTTGAAGATGAATTTCATTTTGCAAAAATTACCACTAATTAAAAGACAATTCAAGATGTTAACAAGGGTCAATTTATCAAGAAGATGTAACAATGGTAAATATGTGTGTACCAAATAAAAAAGCTTCAAAATATAAACTAGGCTCAGCAGCTGCTAGGGAGTCTGGGGCGGGAGGATGGCTTGAGCCTAGGATTCCAAGGCTTCGCTGAACTATGATCATGTCACTTGCACTCTAGTCTGGGTGACATATCAAGACCCTGTCTCTAATTTAAAGATGAAAGATTGAGAGACATACACTATGCAAAAACTGATGTAACTAAAAAGAGAGCCAAATCCACAATCTTGCCTGGAGATTTGATCTCTCTCACAGTAATTGATAGAACAAACTTGACAAAAAATAAATCCAGTAGGATGGTAGAAGACTTTAAAAATGCTGTCAACCAATTTGACTTAATATATGTAGAACACTACATCCAAGGATTGTATTCTACACATTGTTTTCAAATGTACGTGGAACCTTTAAAAGAATAACCCATGTTTTAGGTTATAAAGAAGCTCCAATAAATTATCTAAAGATTGAAAAAAAATTAAAAGACAAACATAGAACAAAATTCTGATATTTAATGTTACTATTTGAACACGTGTTTCTCATTTCTATAATCAACTGGTAGGGAGTCAAACTAACATACTCGATAACAGAAAATAATTTCTTATTCAATACCTGAAATTAAAGGGATTTCCGGTGAGGAGTCCTCACATATTGGATGGTGTCGTCATCTACTGGCACAACGTGGTATTGCAGTTGACCGTTAGATCCTGAGGACTCCGAGAGTAAAAATGCCTCTGCCCAGAGGGGGTTATTTATCACTCACTCCAGCGAGGCATAATTTTTCTGGGTCCAATACGTGGATTCCGCATCCTCCAAGGAGTCTTGGTTCTTACCAAAAGACTAGTACTAGTGACCAAAATCTGATACTGTCTCTGAATGAGAGTTAGTGTTTGATTAAATTGTGTTTTGAGAAAAAAAAATTTGTGGAGTATAGAGATACAGAAAAAAAATATTTGAGGAAACCTTAAAAGCATTATGTGGATTAAACTAAAATTTCAAAGAGTTATAAATCCAGAATATTAGGAGACTTTACTGCTCCTGATTTATTTTAATGGTACTGAATAATGCTTGTGAGTGTTATAATCAGCCTATCTGGAGAGATCCTATAACAAGCACTGAGATTTATCTTCCCAATATCCATTAGGCTCTTCCCCTTTACTAACAGCATCCAAATTTTGTTCCAAGAAAATTTATCCCAAGCTACAAAACTCAATGTCTAGCACACCATTGCCTTCAGTTAGGGACCTCTACATGAAACTGTTCTCATTGGTGGAATGTCGGTAACAGTCTGCTGGGAATTTCTGGGGAAAAATTTTGCCTCCTGATAAGTATGTAATCCTTCTTCATCCTTTCTGCCAGTAAGGTGGGCAAAGGCAAAATAGGCATCGTGTGGCCATTAAAATAGAAGCCACATGCTAAAGACAGTAAGGTAGGGAGGCAGATGGAGCCTGGAACAGCAGTGACTTCATGGGCCTAATACAGTAGCTCTGGACTCCCTGTCTCCCTAAAGAAAGCCATTATAGACTGAACTATGTCCCCACAAAATTTATGTTTTGAAGTCTTAACTCCTCATGTGACTGTATTTGGAGATAGGACCTTTTGGAAGTAATCAAGGTTAAATGGGGTCATGGGGTGAAGACCTGATCTGATCCGACTGGTGGTCTTAGAAGAAGAAAAAGGGATTGGAGGAACTGAAATGAGCAGCACCTTAATCTTAGACTCCCTAGCCTCCAGAACTGAGAGAAATACATTTCCGTTGTGTAAGTCATCCAGTCTAGAGTATTTAGTTACAACATCCTACACAGATTAAAAAAAAAAAAAATACCTCATCTGATTCAGCCACTGTAATGCGTTTTCTATTGCTTGCCCGTGCGCTCTCCTCTGATGCAAAATGGGGTACCTGAAAATGGAATGTTGCAAGTAAAAGAGATAAAAATACAAAATTTCCAGGAATACAAGGTAGAGAAGTAGACAATTAGGCTTCACCCACTACAAGCTGCAAAATTGATGACTTTTTTAATGTGGAATTCTTTGTGCTTACTGTAGCCGCAGCATCAAGGAAAGTAATAGAAAAATTAAAAATGGGTGTGCTTTTTAGTTGCTGAGTTTTGCAAAGTCCCCCTTGAGAGAAATGAATTCATACTAAAGCTAGTGATTCTGACAGCTAAGAGAGCAGGTGTGAGCCTGTGGCCTGCAACCTAAGACATCTGAGAAGCCTTTATGATAAGAGTCTACTAGCTTTAGAAAGAAAACACATTGCTTTCCTACCTCAAACTGAAGCCTTTCATGTCAGAGCTGAAGCAGCAGCCCTAGCAGGGGCTGGTATTGGGTTCCCAGCTTTCTCTTACAGGTCTCTGCTGGACATAGGAGGCATACCTGCTGGTAAATACAGATTAAAGGGTGTTGCTTTTCCTCCAAATGTACGATTTCACATTGCTGATGACAGAAGTTGAAGGGAAAGACTATGTGTGAAAAATGAAGACCTGTGACCAGGGAACAATATTTCTCAGACCTTATTCTATGACTGCATACAATCTTTGGCTGTGGCTGCTCACAGGTGGCATTGGATAGACTGAAAGCCTATGATATTTTAGAAGGAACTGTATTTCTTTAGGAATCCATTTCTAAATTCATTTAAAAATAACTGTATTTCTAAAGAAATGCCAGGTCAGTAGAGGAAGAAGGAGGCTGTCGGGTTGCAGACACCAGGGTGGGCAGCAGTGCCATTGGGCTTTGGTCCATAACTCTCCCTGGAAAGGCAGGAAGGCTTTGACATGGAGAGGGAGCGGCTGCCGCCGTAGTTTTGAGCTTAAGGGTACTAGGACTTACCTCAAACTTGTATACTGAGGAGACTCAGATGTTGGCCTCAGCAGCTAAACTCAGCAGATCAACCCATGAAAACTTGTATGTTGAGACAAAGAAAACGATCCATCAGAAAGCAACATCTATTATCTTGAGCATGGCAGCGAGGAAGCGGACAGGTATTGGAAACCCTGTTCTCTGAAAACCAGACTGAAAGATGACAAAGAAGCCCAAGATGGATGGTGGAGAGAGGTATAACATTCTAGTACCTCAATCTAGAAATTTTAGTAAGAAACAACAGCTTAATAGAAGACCAAGGATCAGAATTCCCAGAAGATGGTTCATAAGAAGAAAGAAAGAGGACATGATTGGAACTCATCAGCAGCTGCATAGCAGGTCATGCAAAATTGTGTGGAGGGGGGAGGAGAATAAAAATTTCCCAGATAATCAAAATTGGAACTCTAGCTTATCAGGTCCCAGATTACTTTTTTTTTTTTTCCCTTTTTGAGACAGGGTCTGGTTCTGTCACCCACGCTGGAGTGCACTGGGCCATCTTGGCTCACTTTAGCCTCTGCCTCCCAAGTTCAAGAGGTTCTTCTGCCTCAGCCTCCTGAATAGCTGGGACTACAGGTGCCTGCCACCATGCCTGGATTCTTTTGGTATTTTTAGTAGAGACATAATTTCACCAAGTTAGCCAGGCTGGTTTCGAACTCCTGATTTCAAGTGATCCATTCACCTTAGCCTCCCAAAATGCTGGGATTATAAGCATGAGCCACTGTGCCGAGCCTCAGTGTACTTATTAAATTTCAAGCTAATCAGAACTATGATGGAGCCAAATTTATTGATTTGCCATCACCAAGAGTGCTTCCTAAGCCACCATGCCACTGGTTCCTGTTTCCTTTATTCCTTCAGCTAAGGAAATAATGATATTTCGAATTAAAACCTTACTGAAAGTATAGGTATAAAATAAAATAAAATACTGATGTTTAAATTTAGTTTTGTTTACAGATAGTTGTCAGTTGGTCTGAAATAAATTCACCAGCGAATAAATCTATTAATGTAGAATTGCTAATTAATGTAAAATATATAATTAGACTTCACCTTATTTGTTGTATGCGCACTGTGACGTAATAGTTGCTTCAGTGCAACTTGAAGTAACTGAATTAATAATTGTACTTGATATTAAGTGTTCTCAACTGAGTAACTTTTAAGTGAAACCGTTCAAGTTTAGATTTGGGGAGTAGTAAAGGAATCAGCTTTTTCTATTGCTTATTTGGGGAATATAGTGATTTAAGATTATCAGTCACTGATCAGTAGATTGTTGAAAGTTAGTGAATCAGATTATAAACATTTAGCTAAGATATACAAGGATTGAGAACAAGGTAAACATCTGAAAATTTAGTATCTAGAAACACCTTAACTAGTAATATGCCAGCAACTGGGTGCACTACTAAAAGAAAATGTGAATATTTTTAATAGTTGGATTTTTAAATTATTTATTTTTTATTGCATTTTAAGTTTTGTGGTACATGTGCAGAACAAGCAAGATAGTTGCATAGGTACACACGTGGCAGTGTGATTTGCTGCCTTCCTCCCTTTCACCCACATCTGGCATTTCTTCCCATGTTATCCCTCCCCAGCTCCCCCTGCCGCTGTCCCTGCCCTATTCCCCCCAATAGACCCCAGTGTTTAGTGCTCCCCTTCCTGTGTCCATGTGTTCTCATTGTTCATCACCCACCTCTGAGTGAGAACATGCGGTATTTCATTTTCTGTTCTTGTGTCAGTTTGGTGAGAATGATGTTCTCCAGATTCATCCATGTCCCTACAAAGGACATGAACTTATCATTTTTGATGGCTGCATAATATTCCATGGTGTATATGTGCCACATTTTCCCTGTCCAGTCTATCATCGATGGGCATTTGGGTTGGTTCCAGGTCTTTGCTATTGTAAACAGTGGTGCAATGAACATTCCTGTGCATGTGTCCTTATAGTAGAATGATTTATAGTCCTTTGGTTATATACCCAGTAATGGTATTGCTGGGTCAAATGGAATTTCTATTTCTAGGTCCCTGAGGAATAGCCACACTGTCTTCCACAATGGTTGAACTAATTTACACTCTCACCAGCAGTGTAAAAGTGTTCTTATTTCTCCACATCCTCTCCAGCATCTGTTGTCTCCAGATTTTTTAATGATCGCCATTCTAACTGTTGTGAGATGGTATCTCAATGAAGTTTTGATTTGCATTCTCTAATGACCAGTGATGATGAGCTTTTTTCATGTTTGTTGGCCTCATGTATGTCTTCTTTTGTAAAGTGTCTGTTCATATTCTTTGCCCATTTTTGAATGGGCTTGTTTGTTTTTTTCTTGTAAATCTGTTTGAGTTCTTTGTAAATTCTGGATATCAGCTCTTTGTCAGATGGGTAAACTGCAAAATTTTTTCCCATTCTATTGGTTGCCAATTCACTCTAATAATTGTTTCTTTTGCTGTGCAGAGGCTGTGGAGTTTGATTAGGTCCCAATTGTATATTTTGGCTTTTGTTGCCAATGCTTTTGGTGTTTAGGTCATGAAGTCCTTGCCTACGCCTATGTCCTGGATGGTTTTGCCAGGTCTTATGTTTAAGTCTTTAATCCATCTGGAGTTAATTTTAGTGTAAGGTGTCAGGAAGGGGTCCAGTTTCTGCTTTCTGCACATGACTAGCCAGTTTTCCCAACACCATTTGTTAAACAGGGAATTCTTTCCCCATTGGTTGTTTTTGTCAGGTTTATCAAAGATTGTATGGTAGTAGATATGCTGTGTTTCCTCTGATGCCTCTGTTCTGTTCCATTGGTCTATATCTCTGTTTTGGTACCAGTACCATGCTGTTTTGATTACTGTAGCCTTGCAGTATAGTTTGAAGTCCGGTAGTGTGATGCCTCCTGCTGTGTTCTTTTTCCATAGAATTGACTTGGTTCTGTGGGCTCTCTTTTGGTTCCATATGAAGTTTAAGGTGTTTTTTTCCAGTTCTGTGAAGAAGGTCATTGGTAGCTTGATG